GGGTCCTTCTGGGCCCACAGGAGGAGGAGGAGGAGAAGCCCCTTCCAGGGCAGAAGCTCTGAGGAGAAGGCCCAGGGATCCCGCTTAGCACCTGAGGAGCCCTTTGCTGAGATCCCTCCCCTGGCTGGGAGGGAGGGAGGGAGGGAGGGAGGGAAGAGCACTCCCCTCCTGGATGGAGACGGGGAGGAGGAAAGGGAGGAAATGGGAGGAAGCATGGCTTACAGCAAGAAATGCCGGCTACCTGAGGCCATCTCTGACTGTTACTAACTATAGCTAACTAAACAACAGGGGTCATTTCGTATAAGAGGTGCAGGAGCTCATTAGCATAACTTATTAGCATAACTTATTTGCATATGCCACACCCCCTGACATCACCGGAAGTGTGTCAGAAGGCAACACCCACCGCTCAGGCTCCACTGGACTGTTTTGGATTGCTAGCTATTGGGGGAGGGGGGAATGCGCAGATCTGTCCTCGCAGAGGAGGGAGAGCTTGTACCTGAAGGCGGGCAGGGGGGAGGCTCTGCAAATTACCTGGCTGCTTCTTGCTCCTCATGGCCCGACCAAGGGCTGCTGGGAGCAGGAGGTGGGGCTTGTTGCATGTGCCCACCCCCTAGGCTCCTTACTGCCAGAGCTCTGCTCCTGTGCGCTCCCGCAGGAAATGACCCCTGCTAAACAACCCTCTTCTAACCACACAAACACATCAACAAACAAATCTCTCTAAAAGTATGGTAACGAACAAACAAATATGAAAGTATGAAAAATGAAACAGATCTTTCTAAATCTTTGAAAGATGAACAAACAAATCTTGAACTGTGGAAAACGAACCAATAAACCTATCTAAAACTATGAAAACCGAACAAAGAAATCTATCGACAAGTATGAAGAATGAAGAAACAGATCCTAAATTATCAAAAACAAACCAGCGAACAATTGTATCTAAAACTACGAAAGACAACAAATAAATTTACTAAAACCATGGAAAACAAATACATGAACCTATCGAGAAAAATGAAAAAAGAGACCGCAATCCTATCATTCCTAACAAACAAATCCGCACCAACAACCACACAGCTTCTCTCTTTGCCTCCATCCTCACAACTGACCAGAGAACCAGCCAGAGGTGATGTCAGAAAGGAGGGCGTGGCCCTGTGTCTTAGCAACTGCACACAACAATGGGCCTGGCCCCCCTGTGCCTGTCCTGGATTCTTCAAGGGCTTGTCATGCCATTCCACCTTTCCTGGACACTCCAGTTCCATACGAACCTACCCATACACTCTGGTCACCTTCGGAGGCCCTGCTTCAGTTGAACCGGCATCCAAGGCTAGATGGGTGGCAACCCAAGAAAGGGCCTTCTCCATCGTGGCACCAAAACGTTGGAATTCCCTCCCCAGGGAGATTCATCTGTCTCCCTCTATCAGTGTGCTTCACCAATAGATGGAGACTTCCTTTTTTCACCTGGCATGCCTCCAGTAATCATTATTGGCCCTCCTTCTTGTGTTCTTTGTTCATGTGTTTTAATTGAATTAGTTTATCATTTTAAATATATTTTAAGTGTTCAAATGTTTTAGTGTTTCTTATGTGCGCAGCCTTGTGGGCCCTGATTGGGTGGAAAGGTAGCATAAAAACATTCTCAGTAAGACGTCACTCCTCTCTTCATATTGATGGCACATTGTCCCTGACAAGACAATTTTACTTGCATTCTTAGGACCTTAACTGGAAGGTACATACCGTATTAGTTCCAGTACATACAACTATTTCTGACACAAGGCCAGATATATTTGTGGCCCCAAATGGAAACTTTTTGGTGTGGAACATTCCAATTTTGGTCCTATTTTATTTATTGTTAATTGCCTTACAAGTGTTACAGGGACTCTGTTGCTTGTTGTATTGGGGCTTATTGTGTTGGCGCTTGGGGGGGGTCAACAGTGGGAGGCCTTCTAATGTCCTGGCCCCACTGGTGGACCTCCTGATGGCTCCTGGTATTTCTGGCCACTGTGTGATATAGAGTGTTGGACTGGATGGGCCTTTGGCCTGATCCAACATTGGCATCTCTTATGTTCTTATTTTGCACTATTGGACCTCTGAAGAAGGCTCCTGTGAGCTGAAATGCATCAGGTCATATACTGTCTTTTTTTGTGTGTATTTGTAACTTGGAACATTTCATGAGGCTTTATTTGGGCCCCTACTAGGTTTTTATATGTCTTTGTAATAAACACTCTTGTACACCTACTTATGTTTTTAACTTTTGGCCCTCAGTAAGTTTTCTAAACTTCCTTTGGAGGTTTGTTACTCCTCTCTTCAAAACCTGACGCCTTCTGGCCATTCTTCAAACCAGGGGTCATTTCGTAGAAAAAGCGCTAGGGGAACTCATTAGCATAATTCATTAGCATATGCCACACCCTCTGACATCAGGGGCCCGGCGGTGGACCTGCAAGGCCGGCGGGAGTGCGAGGAAGCCCCACCAAGACCCTCCCTGGCCCCAGGCAGGCAGGGGTGGGGAGAGGCGGGGAGGAAGCAATTTACCCTCCCTCTTCTCCTGCCTCCTCCTGGCTGAATGAGGGCTGGAAGCGGGGCGGATGGAAGCAGGGGGCGGGGCTTCATCGTGTGCCCCACCCCCCTGCACCTCACCTGGGGGAACTGCGATCCCCCGCGTTCCCCCCGAAATGACCTCTGCTTCAAACCCAGCTTCTTCTGACCAACAACCTTCCTCAGTCAGATTTGAAATCCCCCCACTTCCCTGCCACAGGGGGATTCAGAACACAGTTGGGATAGACTGCTGTGACTCGGGGTACATTTCCGGGCCTGACCTGTCACATGACCCTCCCCCCCAATCGTCCCACCTTGAGAGCAGTGTTCCCTCTAAGCTGAGTTCATGTGAGCTAGCTCACAGTTTTTTTTACCCTCCAGCTCACACATTTTTGTCTTCGCTCAGGAAGGAGGGCGCCAGAGCAAACTAATTCATGCAGTAGCCAAATTGCTCACAACTTTAATTCCAGTAGCTCATAAAGTAGAATTTTTGCTCACAAGACTCCACAGCTCTTAGAGGGAGCATTGTTTGAGAGGTAACATCATCCTATGCAGGATCACCGCAGCTGAAGCTGCAACAGGTAACTGCTTGCCCTGGAACTAACCACCCAGCCCAAAGGACCTGAACCAGGGCTCTCTTGGAGCACTTCTCTAGATGCAAAAAAAGTATTATTGTCAAGTTGCTGTTTACACAACACCAGGTCCTCCTTTCTATTCTGACTAAACTAGCCAAGTTGCCATATTACCAACCTTCAACCATATTTGTTGTTGTTCAGTCGCACAGTCGAGTCCGACTCTTCGCGACCCCATGGACCAGTTCCCGCCAGGCCCTCCTGTCTTCCGCTGTCCTCTGAAGTTTGCCCAGCTTCCATATTACCCAGCTTCAAAGACAAACCATATTACCCAGCTTCAAAGACAAAGGCTTGCGAGGTCCGTGTTGGAAAATACCTGGAGACTTTGGAGGTGGAGCCAGGAGAGGGGGTTTGGGGAGGGGAGGGGGTCTCAGTGTAACCCATGCAGTTTTGTAGCTGTTAACAGCATACAGGGATAATGCACACCTGCTTTTGCCAATAGGTGGTGTGGCAATTAACTCCCTTTCCCCCCTCCTATACTTAGTTAATGAGCATGCTCAGTGCTTGTAGCCTTCCCTAAAGGAGGCTGGGTATTCCCAGCAGCCAGCAGTTCAGCCTGGCCCAGAAAGAGGCAACATCTTGGGGAGAGGCCTATATAGACTTTGCTGTGTTAAGGTCTGCCTTGAATTATTGCAGGTAAATCCTGGAGTCAACTGAGAAGAGCTGCAGCATCCCAAGTACAGCCTGGAAACCTCATATGCTGTTCCAGTATCTGTGAGCTTACAACATATGGACCTACAATATATGTATTATTTATGTGCTTAGTATTTTTTCTGTTCTGTGCATCCTTGTGGATGCTGAAGATATCTGTACTCAGTAATATCCTGAAGATTCATTGCTATGAAGTAATAGCAACCAACCAAAAGTGAATGAGGATTTACAAGTATATGAAAACCTCCATGCTTTGTTTATATAAAGAGTTTATTTTAAATGTTAAAGTGCATTGGTTGTATTGCCTCTTTTATGTCTGTTTTTAAGTACATGTGTAGTAACAGCAGTTACATATTCTTAATAACCATAGGTGGGAGTTTCGCTATCAAAACTGACTGAACCTGCCCACTCTCCCTACAGATGTTAGGACCTTAGTGGGTTACATCAGCCTTAGAGTCCACCCTTCATTTTCTCTAGGGGAGCTGATCTCTGTCAGCTAAAGATCAGTTGTAAAAGCGAGAGATCCCCAGGCCCCACCTGGAGGCAGTGGCAACCCTACCTGTCAAGTTGACAGTTTCTTCATGCATTTCTGTAAGGAGTGCTTCTACGCTCAAGTTCTTTCCGAACCCGGTGCCGTTTTGAAGGACAGCTGGATTTACCCAGTTTGCATCCTTGCTTTGCCTCTCGGAATTTCAGGAAGAGCCTCCTCCGGAATGGCAAAACAACGCCATTCAGAAGGCTGCGCGTCTGCAATCCAGCCAGCCCTCGACGTTGGAGGCACCGTGCAGCGCCCTAAAGCCACCGGATCCTGCGCGGCTTTTTCTCTTCCCGAGACGAGGCCCCCTCCATTCCCGCAGGGGAAGGCCCCCCAACCGTCGACCCCTCCCTCCAGAGAAAATATGCGTGCGCGCCCCTCCCCTGCTTTGTCCGGAGCGGTGCAGGCCACTTCCCCACCCCCCACCCTTCGCCTGCGGCTCTGGCTAGTTCGAGGCCATCTCCCCCGGGCAAGTCTTTTTGGCGAGGCGGGAAGAGAGGGTCGCCGCGCGGTGGGGTCGCCGCTTCCGGGACGCCTCTCGGAGCTGCAGGGCGGGAGCCGGACGGGGCAAGGCAGCCGGTTGGGGCGGTCTCCCGGCCAAAACCCGGGCGCCAGAGACCTCGGTTTGGGAAAGGAGGGAGGAGGCGCGCCGTCCCATGCCCCGTCGGCGCTCGGTGAGTGTTTTTCACCCCCCTCCTTCGGCGGGGCCCTTCTTCTCTCTTACCAACCCCTTCCATCCAGTCCTAGCTCTGCTTATCGCACAGTTCCTTGGGCATCTTGACTCTAGCTAGCCTTTCCGAGTACACCCCCCCCCCCCAAATTTCTGGAACTCTGTTTCGGTGTATCTGGATCCGCAGGGAAGCGCACACTCAGAATTAAGCTTTGGTGTTGGTCTTAAAGGTGCCCAGGGACTCAGACGTTGTGCTCTCCTAACTCGTCTCCTAACCCCCTCATGGATCACTGCCTTGTCCTGGCGAGGGGGCTTGCGTGGTTCCATGAGGCTGTGGGCTATGTGTGGAGGGCCACCCAAGACGGACAGGCCACAGCAGAGAACTCAGGCCAAGCGTGATCCCCTGGAGAAGGACATGGCAACCCACTCCAGTATTCTTGCCAAGAAAACCGGATGGACAGCATAGATGCAAACATGAAATTGAGCCAACTTCAGAGGACGGCGGAAGACAGGATGGCCTGGCATGATCTGGTCCATGGGGTAGCGAAGAGTCGGACTCGACTGTGCGACTGAACAACAACAACTCGTTACACGTGTGCCCCTTGCGGCGTTTTCTGCTTGGGTGCGGGGTCCTGCTCCGCAACTCTGTGGGCGGGGATGTGTCTGTCACTCCTGAGCAGTGAGACGGAAGAATGCGCTCTGCATATGCTCAGGAGCGCCCCTTCAGTATGGAACTTGTTTCATGTGTTCCAGGAGGGGAATTCGGGCATTTAAATTAAGCCCCGAATTTAAACGGAAGTTTAAATTAAGCCCCGAATCAACCATTCTTAAGTTATAATGGACTGAAGACTGGCTTGAATGTATAGATGTCGCAAGTGGGAGGATGGCTCTTGCTGGACTGATGGCCTTGGCTGTGGCTCGGTGGTAGAGCCTCTGCTTGGCATGCAGGAGGTCCCAGGTTCAATCCCAAGCATCTCCAGCTAAAAGGACCGGCGATGAGGTGATGTGGAGGACCTCAGCCTGAGACCCTGGAGAGCCTCTGGAGGTTGTGACAGGCCCAAGGTCACCCGGCAAGCTTCCATGGCCCAAGTGGGGATTCAGGCCTGGATTTCCCAGTTTCTAGTCCCGACTGCTACACTGTGCTGGTTCAAAGGGAATATTTGCGGAGCAGGCTAGTTTGCTTTTGATGTGCAGAGGTTTCTTTGTTTTGTTTTTTGATGTGGCGGCAAGGCTGGGATCCAAGTGCAGAGAGGCCCCAGGCAGAAAGCACCCAAAGGAATTTGAAATTAATTACCAAAAGACCAAGGTTATGGCCTTTGGCACTAGACAAAAGAAAAGGACCTGGTCGATTAACGGGCATTCCATTGAGCAGGTCTCCTATTTTAAATACTTAGGCATGGTCCTTCAATCTTCAGGGGCCAAAAATGCCCACATTCAGTATGTGGCGATGCAAGGTGTAAGAACTGCCAATAACATCCTTACGTTTTAACATACAAAAGGGGTCTTTTTGCTCCAGCTGCCCAAAAACCTTTTCAGGCAAAGGCAGTTGCACAAATGCTCTTTGGCACTTTAGTTGGTCCCTCTTCTTCCAGTTTTGCTCCTCTTGAGAGGGTTCAAACCAAATTTCTTAGAGCTACCCTTCAGGTCCTGCGATGTGTCCCGAATGCACTCATAAGATTAGAAACTAGTACCTTGAAGATGGGGAGTCAAAATTACTTTGGCCTCAGTCCGTTATTGGCTTAAAATGGATTTTCAACCTGAGGGATTAGTCCATTTGTTATTATTGGAGAATTTAAAATCTAGATGGTTGAAATCAGTGCACAATAAATTACAATTACTGGGATTCTCCCCTCAGGCGATGCTACATATGAGCTGGGATCAGGCTAAATTAGCTCTCAAACAGAGAATAATGGCTATAGAGAGACAAGCGGATCTTGATAGATATCCTAAATTCAGAGTGCCTAATCAAATTAGATATCGTTCGGTCCCGATGGCATATGTAACACACCTTGATGTAAATAAATATAGGAAAGCCTTCACACTACCTAGATGTGAGACTCTCCCCTCTGCAGTGCTGGAGGGCAGATATAGAAGAGTTCCCTGTAGGAAAGCAGTGCAGAAGAATTCACTATTCTCCTGCCTGGAAATTGGGAACTGAAATATTTATAGGTAATGAGAGCCCAAGATGGAATCTGTGTGTGTGTGTGTAAGCTCTCTGTTATCTCTGCCACTCCCCCTCTCTCAAGGCCACACGGACTGCGTCAGTGAGCTCTCTGTTATCTCTGCCACTCCCCCTCTCTCAAGGCCACACATTCCTTAGTTCATGTCTCATGACAGGATGATGTAATGTATGAAAGAAAGGAGGGAATGGAGGAAAAGATTTTCAATAAATACAGCTGGTGAGTGAGAGGAGATTCATTCAGTCAGTCAGTTCCTGCAGACTTGTGTCCTTTGCATCGTTTGAACCCTGCACCCACTCAACAGTTCCCCTTGCACAGAGACTTTGTAAATGTGAGTCTGGGGAGATAGAAACTATTGAACACAGGATGTTTAGATGTAAGTGGTACAATGAGGCTCGAGATAGATTAATTCAACCTCTTATTGAAGAGGTGCCTGGGCAGACAGACTCGGAGTGTTGTCATAAACTGTTATCAGATGAAAATCACTCTATTACCAAGGTTGTGGCTAAATCTTGGGTGGCATGCTGTTGCATTCGAAATGGACAGCTTAACTTGTAAAATCACAATTCCCTCCTTTTTAGTGTGTCTTTTAGTGGATCTGTTGTATGTATTCTATATTTTTATATTGTATAGTTCGTAATATTTTATTTTGGTGCCTCTTGCTGAAGTGTTCGGATTGCTCTGGCTGGATGCCGTAATAAAATTTCATTCATTCACCCAAAGGGCCCCCCTCCCTCAGCCCTCCATGCTACTGGTGCCACCCCACTGCTGGAAGAAACTGAGCTTCGTGTTTGTGGTTGGACCACATCTGCCAGAGGCACTATGTTTTTTTTTTTTTTTGGAAGTTTATTGATTTTTATGTGTACATAACCATTGTTTCATTTATATACATACATCTTAGAGTCTTTTATCTATTTTCTAACCATTTATACATTCCCGCCCATCGTTTAACAAATATTTCTTCATTTTCCCCCTGTAACAATAAACTCAATTTATCCATTTCAGCTACTCCCATCAATTTCTCTATTACTTCATCTCGTTTGGGGTTATTCTCTTGTTTCCAGTATTTTGCCCATTGTATCCTAGCTGTGTAGTTATTATGTATAGTATTAAGTATCTTTCATTATAGTTAAAATGTTCTGGAATTATATTACGGAGGCACTGTGTTGACGTGCATGCGTCTCCTCCTGGGAGAGACTTCAGACCGTGCAGGCCAGAGAACTCCTTCCATCCATCAAAATCATGTTATGGTCAATGTTCCCTCTAAGCTGTGGAGTCTTGTGAGCAAAAATTCTACTTTGTGAGCTGCTGGCATTAAAGTTGTGAGTGAGCAATTTGGCTGCTGCATAAATTAGTTTGCACTGGAGCCATCCTTCCTGAGCTGAGACAAAAATCTGTGAGCCGGAGGCTAAAAAACCGTGAGCTAGCTCACACTAACTCAGCTTAGAGGGAACACTGGTCATGGTTACAGCGTGTTCTGGTTACTTGAAGGCAGGCAGGGCCTGCAAGTCAGAGCTCTTCCACCAGGCCTTCAGTTAGGCAGCTGCACCCAAGAAACTGAGGCCCTGGCCCCAATGTTAATATTGACATCATTGCTAACAGCCAATTCAACCCAATTGCTAACAGCCAATTCAACTGCTGCCTGAGGATGCTGCTAATGCCCGCCATCTGATATAATGCCCGCCATCTGATGCCCGCCATCTGAGCCTACCTTGGCGGGGAGGGCAGGATAGAAATAAAATAAATAAACTGTAAAGGCAACTGTTTACGGATTACTTAGTCAAAAGAAAAATAATGCCATGTCTGTAGGAAGACACCTTATCAGTGTCTGATGGACTGAGAGTTTATAATTTTTAAAACAACGAGCATCATCCTTCCTCTGTCTTTACTTACCCCTCCCACCTACTGCTGCATGTACAACTTTCTGAACCAGAGTTTGGGGCCTACTTCTTCTAGTTCCACACTAGTGACAGCGAAATTTACCAGGTTCCCTGGTCAGGGGGTTCAAGAGAAACGATGGACTTCATCAGAAAATAATTTAAGTTGTTTGAACCACAGAGGGGAGCCCCTATCTAGACACTGCAAATAAGTTCTCCGCTGATCACAACCATAACATAACTTTTGATAGGATAATGTATGTCATCATTACAAGCTGGCAGTAATGAACCTATCGCATATTAACATGTCTACTTTTCCTCGTTTTGACTACAGGAATAGCCACTAAAAAGAAGCCCCTGCAACTATTCCTTATGTGGTTAGGGTTGTTAGCCCACTCCCTCATTTACCACTTACACAGATGGTTAGAAATGGGTTAGAATTGGCCCTGTGCTTAGCTTATTTTGAAAAACAGCAAGAACATGGTAGCAGGGTTCATTCGGTCACAAAAATGTGGAAAACAGGCACACAAAATGGTGTTGGCTTTGCTAATTTCCCCATCACTAGTACCTACCAACCAAACGTGTCCCCATTTTTCTGTCCACCCTTCCCCCGATCTCTCTTGAGCCATTCCACCACCTGTGCTCACAGCCGCCCACATCCACATGTGGGCGGCACAGGTGGCAGAGCATGTGCAAGTGAGGGGGTGAGAGAAGGGCACGGGAACAGGAGGCCAGGAGAGGGTGGGTTAGTGGCGGTTGGCCGTGCCAGGAGTGCAGCTGCTCCACCTCAGGGTATGCTGCTGACATGGGGCCTGTGTGTGTGTGTGGGGAGATATCAGTCATATTCCCCCACCTTAAAAATTTCCCCACAATCCCTCTTCCTCAGTCATGCTTCCTGTTTTACATGAGACCCTAAGAAGGGCCCTGCTGGATCAGATCAGTGGTCTATCTAGCCCAGCCTTCTGTTTCACACAGCGGCCAACCAGTTGCCCTGGAGGGCTGAACAAGAAGAGAAGAAGAGATTGGATTTATACCCCACCCTTCACTACCTGAAGGAGTCTCAGAGCAGTTTACAATCTCCTTTCCCTTCCCCTCCCCACAACAAACACCTGGTGAGGTAGGTGGGGCTGAGAGAGCTCTTTTGAGGACAGCTCCTGAGAGAACAGCTCTGAAAGAACGTGTGGCTGACCCCAGGTCCTACCAGCAGCTGCATGTGGAGGAGTGGGGAATCAAACCTAGTTCTCCCAGATTAGAGTCTGCACTCATAACCACTACAGCAAACTTGCTTTCTCTCACAAACAACAAGGACACAGAGGCTGTGGGCTATCCCTGATGCTGCCTCCTAGCCCTGGGCTTCGGGTTTGCCGCCTCTGGATATGAAGGTTCTCTTTACTGGCTGTCTAAGAAAGGACTTTAAATTCTGCCACAATCCCTCTTCCTCAGTTCTCCGTCCCATATTACGGAAGACCACCTGAAGTGCCCTGCTGGATCATTGGTCTGTCTAGCCCAGCCTTCTGTTTCACACAGCAGCCAACCAGTTGCCCTGGAAGGCCGAACAAACAACAAGGGCACAGAGGCTGAGGCCTATCCCTGATGCTGCCTCCTGGCCCTGGGCTTCAGGGGTTTGCCGCCTCTGGATATGAAGGTTCCCTTTACTGGCTGTCTAAGAAAGGACTTTAAATTCTGCCGCAATCCTTCTTCCTCAGTCATACGCCCCGTATTATGGAAGACCACAAGAAACCCCCTGCTGGATCAGACCAGTGGTCCATCTACAGTTTAATTACTCACTGACTAAAGGAGTGTTTGCTTCTGTCTGCCCTGTACCGGTTACCTGTCAACTCCATTGGGTGCCCCCGAGTTCTGGTATTATGGGAGAAGGAGAAAAAGCTCCCTCCGTCCACTTTCTCCACCCCTTGCATCATTTTCTAAACCTCTGTCATGTCCTCTCTTAGCCTTTCTTTCTAAACAAAGAAGTCCCAAGACTCTCCAGCCTCCTTTGGCTGCAGGCCGGGTATTTTCTGCACATACCTGGAGGGGCGGGGTTTGGGGAAGGGAGAGACCTCAGCAGGATATAATGCCACAGAATCCACCCTCCAAAGCAGTCGTTTTCTCCAGCGGAGCTGATCTTGATTGTCTGGAGATCAGTTATAGTAGTGGTGTAATCTCCAGGTGATTCCTGGAGGCTGGCAACCCTCATTCTGTTTTTCTGAGATGATGCCGGGGGCAACGATGAATGATCATTCTCTGTTTTTCAGGACCCTGTGACTTTTGAAGATGTGGTCGTGTATTTCACTGTGGCTGAGTGGGCCCTGCTGGATCCAGAGCAAAGAGCCCTCTATAAGGAGGTCATGCGGGAAAACTACAGCACCGTGGCCTCCCTGGGTAAGGGTCGCGGCCTGCTTATTTCCTGGGCCTTTGGATTCCACCGAGTTTAATCTCCTTTTGTTTCCCCGTCGTCTAATTAGCAGGTGGTGGTTCCTGACAGAGGAAAACTTTCTCCTAGGAAGTTGCCTTCTATAGAATCTGGGGTTGGTAACCTTGTGGACCTGGAGCTCTCCCACTGTTACAACTGATCTCCGGACAAGAAAGATCAGTTCACCTGGGGGAAATGGCCGCTTTGGAAGGTGGCAAAATATCCAATTGAAGTCCCTCCCCTTCCCTCCCCGAACCCTGCCCTCCTCCGCTTCCACCCCCCCAAATCTCCAGGTATTTCCAAACACGGAGCTGGCAACCCTGATAGAATCAGACTATCAATCTAATTATTTTATTAGGCAGAAAAAGGCCTTTCCTAGCAACCGCTACTTGATTCCAGGGGACTGAACTGAGACCCTTTGGGTGCAAGGCGTGGGCTCTGTGTCTCTCAGCCATGGCCGCTCCTCAAACATCAAAACCCAACAGAAACTTTAGTGTTCATTGCTGTACCGTGAAATATCAAATTTTACGGTGAGCCTGTGTGGGAAACTAAGTAAAAGTAATGAGGGAAACTAATAGAGAGACTCTCCCTGTCTAAAACCAATGTCTCACTCTTGGCCCATGAACGCTAAAATGCTGAGATGCTGAGATTATCTCAGCCTGCCAAGTCGTATCTGTATTTTTCAATGTTACTTCAAGGCCAAAGAAACCTCCCTCGGCTAGCTGGAACCTCTAAACAACTGTCTGTGAAGGCTTGGCAAGTTCTGAGCATTCTGATTATTCAGACAAAGAAGACAACCAAAAATTGTGGGAGAGGCCCTGGTCAGTGCTGTTACTCCATCCCCATCTTGGTCATCTCTCCAGTGTGGGGCGGTGGATAGAGGGTTGGACTGGACTCTGGAGTCCCCAGGTTTGAATCCCTGCTCTGCCATGGAAGCTTGCCAGGCCAGTCATGTACTCCTAACCTTCCTCACAGGGTGGGTGTGAAGATAAAATGGAAGAGAGGAGAATGATGTCAGCTGCTTTAGGTCCCCTTTGGGAGGGGAAAGGAAGGGTATAAATGAAGTAAATAAAAAGAAGTAAAACTTCTGATTTACTGGCTGCCTTTTCTTTAAGAACAGGGCCTTCGAACTGTTTTGGGCACCTCTGCGGTTCTTTGAAAGTTTATTAGTGAAGGGATCACAAAAGGCAGACAAATTTATCTGAGAGTCAGCTTGCACTCAACTGCTGATTATCCTTCTGTGTTGTGCTGCGGGGGGGGGGGAGTTCTGTGTGTATTTTAGGGCCCACTCTCAGTTAATCTGGGACAGAGATGTCACCCAGTTGTTCTTCTCAGTGCCCTGACAGACTTGGATTCACAGTAATGACATGGCCCCAAATCCTCTGCAGCATGTACGGTTTTGTGGCAATGCTAGGGAAAGTGTTGAGAAAGTCCCCACAGCCAGTACTGGGGAAGGTTTGTCTGGGGCAGAGTTCTAGGAGTGTCACCACAGCAAATGTAAAAAATGTTCTGCCCCAGCTTCAGCTGTAAAAGTCAGTTATAGCTGAAATTTAGAAGACCTGTATTGCATGCAGAAGTCCCTCAGGTTGCTCCCTGCTCCCGGAAAGGTGGGTGGCGGCCAGCGATTTACTACCCTGTTTAGGCGAGGGAGGGGAGGGGCGGCAGGCCAGCGGGGCGCCTCATCTTAAGGGGCTGCTCTAGGCCGCTGCCTAAAAATTTCTATGCCCTGTCTGCAACCGCTTTCCCTCTTCGATGGACAGGTGAAAATCTACTCTGGCTTCGCCAACCGGTTCCCCTGGCATGTGACAGATTTAAAGCTGTGTTCCTGACCCTCCCTCTGTTTCCTTTCCAGTCACAAATGCTTTTCCAAAGCCAGCCCTGATCTGCCGCCTTGAAGGAGGGGAGGGGCTTTGGCTACCTGATCCACCAGAGACTGCAGAGAGGCAGCTGCCTTCAGACTGCAGCTCAGGTAAGAAGTCTGGCTGAGGCTTCCCTTGCCAATGTTGGTGTGGCCCAGCAGGCCCCACACACACACACCTGGGAGTATGAAATGGCTGGAAGGTTTCCTGTGAAATTTCCTGTGTGACTGTGGGCCAGGTTTGCTTGGATAATTAAGCCAATTTTTTGAGAAAGACAGCATCTTGCTTTTTCAAGATTAGGAATTTGTGTCTTCTGTCTTAAGTACTGAGCCTGCCGTTTTCCTGTCAGCAAGGATTCCACTGCCAGTCTCCAAGCTGATCTCCAGGTCACAGAGGTCTATTTCCCTGTAGAAAATGGCTGCTCTGGAAGGTGGACTCTGTTGCATTGTCCCCCTCCGAGGTCCCTTCCCTCCCCAAACCCCACCCTCCTCAGGCTCCACCCCCAAAATCTCCAGGTACTTCACAATCCAGAGCTCCCAGCCCTACCGGGTTGGGATGCTGCACCTCTCCCAGTACCTGACACACGGAGAATTTGGAAAGGAAAGATTTCTACATCACATTTCTCTGTGCTTTTAAGACCATCCCTAGCAATACTGTTCTGTGTTAGACTATTAAAGAAGTAGAAGAGATTGGATTTATACCCTGCCCTTCACTACCCGAAGGAGTCTCAGAGTGGCTTACAATCTCCTTTCCCTTCCCCTCCCCACAACAGACACCCTGTGAGGTAGGTGGGACTGAGAGAGCTCTCTCGAGAACTGCTCCTGAGAGAACAGCTCTGACAGAACTGGGACTGACCCAAGGTCACACTAGCAGCTGCATGTGGAGGAGTGGGGAATCAAACCTGGTTCTCCCAGATTAGAGTCCACGTTCCTAACCACTATACTACACCTAACTGGCTCTCCAGCACTCCTAACCACTACGAAAAACACAGTAGCAGAGCTGATGGGGGGGGGGGGAGGAGGTTCTAGTCCTTATGTGAAATGTGCCAGTCAGATGTGCTGTAATATTTTAATAATATTTTAATAAAGTCATCCATCTGCCTTCTGAACTTCTCTTGGTTTTCTTTTATTCCCCAAACCTTGGGGGTTTGGCTCCTCCTCCTGTGGCAGCCATTTTGGGGTGGCACTCACCACCCACTCTCAGAATTCCAAAGGCATCCAGAGGCTCAAACCATTTGGGGACTCCTCCTTTAAATCTTATAAAACTCATTCAGCATTATCTGGAGAATGGGAAGCAAGGATCATTCATTTCCTACAAACTGTATATCATATGATATTACCAAATCATGCAGGTCACCAGGGTGTTTTTTGTTGAAAACATGTAGCAACTTTCTTTTGTCCTTTTCAAGGACAGCTCTTGTCAGAACTATGACTGGCCCAAGGTCATCCAGCAGCTGCAAGTGGAGGAGTGGGGAATCAAACCCGGTTCTCCCAGATTAGAGTCCACACACTTAACCACTACACCAAACTGGCTGCCGTCCTCATCACATTCTCCCTTCCTGGCAGAAGGCAGGATTCGTTCTCAGTCTTCCGGTTTGTTCCCACAGGTAGTGGCCACCCGAATGAGAGGAAAGGGGAGCCCCACCCACCAAACAAAGACAAGACAAGAGTATTGCACAGAGCCCAGAAGAGCCTTTCCGGACATCGAGAGAGAGGAGGAAATCCTGGAATACCCCATGGGCCAGAGAGACCTCAGGGAAAGCGCCCTGGAAAGAAAGGGGCTGAAACCTCTTCTCACAAGGAGAACACCAGGGATTTTAGTGAACCGACAGACCAAAGAGGGAGAAGTCACGGGAACGGGAGGCCGAAGGCAGGCACCGCACGGGGGCAGGAGTCCTCCCCCAAAGACGGTGAGCGGGGAAGAGTTCTTTGGCAGAAGGGTGGGACGTGGATAGTGGGAGAACTCCTAGAGTAGCAGATCTCAGAAGCTAAGCAGGGTCGGCCTTGGCTAGTATCCGAATGGGAGGCCGCCAAGGGAGGCCAGGGGCACCGTGCAGAGGCAGGCCATGGCAAGCCACCTCTGAACATCTCTTGCCTTGAAAGCCCCACAGAGTCACCATAAGTCAGCTGTGAGTTGACGGCAACAGCAACCGCAGTGCTACCTAGGCCGTAGCAGGTAACTCAGAGCATGTGCAGAGTTCCTTGCAGCAGCAAGACGTCAGAGGAGTCCTTAACCCCTAACCCAACCTGTGGACTCCCTTCCCATTGAAGGCCAGGGAGATATAAGGGAGACAACAGATTGCTGGTCAGTAGAATTCGACCTAAGCCAGCCTCCTTTCTCAAAGTGGGGAGCTGATGTAACCAAGGAGACAGGCTACTGTTGCCATTCAGAGCCCTGTAAAGTATAGTCCCACCTCCATCGATCATCTGGCAGTGGCTCTCTTCTTCTATGACAGGTAATTGGTCTCTGTCCCAAAACCGGATTGTCCTTTGTTCCAAAGGGATTAATTCTGGCAGGGTGGCCCAGTGTGGCTTTTCTCCTGTGTTTTGGGCTGTTACCATTCTAGAGAGAATGCTCCACCATTCAGAGACATTTCCTCTGAGGAAAGGCGACATACAGTATAGACAGTAGGCGGTAGGGATTTTGGTTTTGATTTCATTTGCTTTCTTGGCGATTCTGAAATTGTTTCAGACCATACATCCTTCCGAAGCTGGGCCTTGGAAGTCTTTCTCCTGTGTCTGTCAGAAACTCATTTGCTGTTTTGTGAAATGAGGGACTTCTTCTGTGTCCCGTCTCCTTCAGGGCCAGAGGATAGGATATGTTCAGCCTAAGGGGTTTCCACTTTCCTGCTGGAGGCAGGAGAACTCCGCCCTCCCCCCTTTATTTTAAGGTTTTTACAATGGTGTTTCCTGTGCAGGACCCTGTCAGCACAAGCAGCTTCTTGTGTCTGAAGGGAAAACAGCAGTGATTGCGAAATTTTGGTGAAATGCTAGTCAGTTATTCTTTTCATTTGTTGATGACTGTGGCGGTGGTGGGGGGGGGGAGCCCTTTGTGGGAATTAGCATACCGAAAGAGAATCTCCTGCCTTTTAGAAAAGAGGAGGGGATCCACGAATCAATAGAAAACTTCTTATAGATAAGAAAGAGAGAGGTGGACTAGCTCTACCTGACTGGGGATTATACTACCAAGCTGCAGCAATGGGCTGGATAAGAGACTGGATAACTCTGGAAGATGAAAGACTCCTACAGTTAGAAGGGCATGACCTACCCATGGGTTGGCATGCACACATATGGTATAACTTAGATAAACCACAACAAAACTTCCAAAATCACATAATAAGAGGCCCCTGAATAAAAATTTGGAAAAAAATTAAAAACAGATTTTACAATAAAATTCCGAAATAGATTTCCCCACTAGAGGCTTTTATAATGCCAGCATTATTAGACAATAGTAAAAAACTGACATATGAAATGCTATTAACCATTTGAAATACTTGAAACAAAAAATATAAATCTCACTAATTGGGAAAAAATTCAATTAAAATCCAGATTTACTAAAGATAAAACATTAAATTTTATTAATTCCAAAACCAGTTAGATATATTATGGCTTTCATCATCAGATAAGCTCATACAAAGATTATATACAAGAAGAAACAGTAAAACTAAATATGATTAAATGGATGCAAGATATAGGGTATAATATATCTTTAGATGAATGGTCCAAAACCTGGGAATCTATGAAACTATTAAGAGCTGTGTCTTATAAAGAAAATATCTGCAAGATGTTCTATAGATGGCATTGGACTCCAGACAAACTCGCTAAGTATTATAAAAATAGCTCCGAGATATGTTGGGAGATGTAAAAACAATGTTGGAACATATTATCATGTTTGGTGGAACTGTGAAAAAATTGCTAAATTCTGGAAGATTACCAAAAAAGTAAGAAAAAACTGCAAAGGTTAAATTGCAGCTGAAACCAGAAATCTTTTTACTCAATATCACACCGGATGGCATTAAATGAGATGATTTAATAATCATACTGTATATACTTATCATGTCGAGAATATTAATCGCAAAACAATGGAAAAGGGATACGATACCCAATAAAGAAGAGCTAAGGGATAAAATTATTGAAATAGCTGAATTTGATAAGCTGAATACGACTCTTTCAGGAAAAGATGAAACAACTTTTCAAAATAGATGGCAGAAAGTTTATAACTGGGTGGGAAAAACTGTTAGACGATCTTCCATTTGTACTTCCAACAAATGTTTATGTATTACTCTGTTATTTTATGTAATAGAAAACGTACAAATAAACTTATAAAAAAAATAGAAAAGAGGAGGGGATTGGCAGAAGTGCTCGGATATTGCTCAGCAAATACATGGACTTTTAAAAAAAGTTTTGTAAAAGGTATCGCATTATTTATATGCAGCGTTACTTATGTGCCTAAAAAAAAAAGGAAAACAGGGTGGGCTGTGACTCTTGAGGCTTGGGCCAGGATGGTGTAGTGGTTAAGGGTGTTGGACTGGTATCTGGGAGACCCAGGTTTGAATCCTCACTTGTGCCATGGAAGCTCGCTGGGCACGTATTGGGATGGGAGACCTCCAGAGAATACCAGGGTTGGGAGGCAGAGGCAGGCTATCAAGCCACTTCTCTGAACATCACCAGAAGTTGCCGTGACTTTCAGGCATGGGTGTGTGCACGTGCACACACAAATGCAAAAAATACCCCCCCAAAAAAAAAGAAGAAGAAGAAGAAAGGTAAGTTGGGAAGTGGGAAGGAGAGAAGAAAGCTAGGAAAGGGAAGAGGATATGGGGGCTGCTTGGAGGAGGGAAAGAAGAAATAAAGGGAGGACGGGATACAGTGGGATGTGAAGTGACCCCGGAAGTCCTTGTGGATTCCCCGCTTGTGATGTATAAATCTGGTTCCTAGCTCCTACTTTCTGAAGGGAAGAAAAGAAGAAGTGTGACTGTGTTCTTCCTTTTCTCTCAAACAGGCGCTGAGCAAGAAAAAGAGAAGGAGAAATCTCTGCAAGCAGAAAATGCACAAACGGTGACTCCAAAAGGGACAGCACTGCAATGGATGAAAGAGGGAACTTTCCAGGATCAGGCGGAAGGGAGACAACATGTGACTCACGGAGGGCCAAGGAAGTACCAACAGAATTGTTCTCAGAAGAAAGACAGCCCTTTTGTGGAAAGTCACAAGGGCCTTTACAAAGTTAGAGTGCAAGAGAGGAGTCACACGAATGGGACAGGCAAACCTCTCAAAGATCAGGCCAGAAACCCCACCCTTAACACCAGCAAAACAACCCCTGCAGCAGCAAAACCGTTCCAGTGCTCAGAGTGTGGGAGAAGCTTCAAGCACCGCGGTCCACTAGTTATACACATGCGAATTCACAGAGGAGTGAAACCGTACGCATGCTCAGTCTGCGGGAAAAGTTTCAGCTGCACATCAAACCTTTTCCCACATGAGAGGCTGCACACGGAAGAAAGACCCTATAAATGTTCTGATTGTGGGAAAAGTTTCAAAGCTGCTTCAACCCTCAAGAAACACAAAAATGTCCACACTGGAGAAAAACCGTATCCGTGTCCAGAATGTGGGAAAAGGTTCAGTGACAAAGGTCATCTCATTAGACACAGGAAGACCCACACACAAGTGAGACCTTTCAAATGCTCGCACTGTGGAAAGGCCTTCAGAGAGAAAGAGCACCTTGCTGTTCATGAGAGAATCCACACAGGAGACAAACCGTATAAATGCTCAGACTGTGGGAGAAGCTTCAATTGCCTGTCAAACTTCAATAGGCACAAGAAAATCCATGGAGGGGAGAAACTGCATAAGTGTTCAGACTGTGGGAAAAGCGTCAGAAACAAAGCAGACCTCAGAGTGCACAGGAGAATTCACACTGGTGAGAAACCTTATCAGTGCACAGAGTGTGGGAAAAGCTTTTCGAGCAGCTCAGCCTTTGTATGCCATAAGAGAACCCACCGAGGAGACAAACCGTATGAGTGCCTAGAATGTGGGAAACGTTTCCGTCATAAATATACCCATATGAAACACGAGCAGAGAATGCATCAATATCAGTGCTCCGACTGTGGGGAAAGTTTCGGCCAAATTTCAGCCCTTCAACGTCATAAAAGTAAACACACAGGAGAGAGCCCGTACAACTGTCTAGAATGTGGGAAAGGATTTACAACAAAACGCGTGCTTACTCAGCACGAGAAAATGCACAAAGAGAAACAGTACGGTTGTCTAGAATGTGGGAAAAGATTTATAACAAAACCTAAACTTATTCAACATGAGAGAATCCACACAGGAGAGAAACCATACTCTTGCTCAGAGTGTGAGAAGAGCTTCAGCCAAAAGCCAAGCCTCGTTCAACATATGAGAGTCCACACAGGAGAGAAGCCATTCAAGTGCTCACTCTGTGGGAAGAGATTCAGACAGAAATTGCGTCTCTCTGAGCATTTGAAATTCCATCCAGGAAAGGAAACCCATGAGTGTTCAGAGTGTGGGAGAAGCTTCAACGATCCTTTGCGCTTGCTGAGACATCAGAAGATCCACACAGGGGACACTCCCTATAAGTGCTTAGCGTGTGGGAAAAGTTTTTCCACAAAGGCATATCAACAGTGTCATCAAAGAATACACACAGGAGAGAAGCCATACCAGTGTCTGGATTGTGGGAAACGGTTCCGTGTCAGGGCAAACTTGCCGGTACATGAAAAAGTTCACACTGGAGAGAAACCGTTTAAATGCATGGAGTGTGGCAAAAGCTTTATTAATAGTTCGGGCCTCATAGGTCACCATAAAATCCACACAGGAGAGAAACCATCTAAATGCTGAGATGAGAGGGAAGGTTCCAGAAAGAGGACAGACCTTCTGCAGTGTGAGAGATTCCACACACAGGAGAACCGTTTTCAGTGTGTATCCTGTGGGAAGAAGTTTGTGAAGAAAGCAAATCTGGCTGCCCATGATCCCGAGGATAAGGAAAACATTAAAAAGCTGAAAGGAAATGTTTGCTGTGGGGTTGTAGATGATTATGAGTTGAAGAGTCTGCTGCAAGTTAGGTTTTTCCACGATTCAGTTTTCTCCCATAACAGTCCTGATGTTCTCTTCTTCATTCCCATGGGCCCACCCTGGCTTGCTTTCCTCACCAACTGCCTAGCTCTTTTTACCCATCACAATATGCAACTGCAACTTTTGCCTCCTCTGCAGTATTATCAATCAATTTATTTCTACAGTCCTTAGACCAGTCATACAAAAGGAAGTACAATATTCCAAGATATATCAGTGAAACATTAAAAGCAAATTAAAATTTAATATCAAACAACTATATCTAACTAGCTACCTTAGAGTTTCCGTGATCTGAGTATCACCATACAGAAACTGGCTACTTGGTGGGTAATTTTGGGGTTTCTATCAGATAGAAGAAACTCGAGTCTAGCTTTTTCGGAAAGACCCGGAATTTGTTCAGTCAGCGGAGTGATTTTATTACGTGCCACCTTATAATACGGACATCTAAAAAACATGTTCTCTGTGGTCTCAACCTCCCTTAGTGGGCAGGTACAAAGCCTTTCTGAGAAAGGAGTATTCTTGTATTTTCCTTCAAGTACAGCAGAAGGGAGGGCAGAGCACCTCGCCAGAGTGAAGGCTCCTCTAAACCCTTTTACTTCAAGAGAGGTTAAATAGTTGGCTGGACCCACAGTATTTTTGATAATTGCCCTCATCTTAATGTTTTGTATGCTGGAAAGATCAGTTTGGCGTTCTATAGCCTCAATTCTCTGCTTAACTAATATTTTTGCTTGGTCTGTTCCAAAAGATGAAGAAGAAGAAGAGAAGAGATTGGATTTATACCCCGCCCTTCACTACCCAGAGGAGTCTCAGAGCGGCTTACAAACTCCTTTCCCTTCCCCTCCCCACAAGAGACACCCTGTGAGGTAGGCAGGGCTGAGAGAACTATTGACAGAAACTGCTCTTTTTCAAGAACAGCTGTGCCAGAGCTATGGCTTGCCCAAGGTCATCCAGCCAGGTGCAAGTGGAGGAGTGGAGAATCAAACCCGGTTCTCCCAGATTAGAGTCCGCGCACTTAACCACTACACCAAACTGGGGGGTGCAAACTGGTGTAGATAAGAGCACCTGGGGGGAAAAACCTATTTTCAGCAGATAGCTCTGAACAGACTTAGACCAATTTGATTGGAAATTGTCGCAGAGTATCAGAGGGAGTAAACCTTGTGGATTGAGATACCCCTTTAGCCAGGTATGTATTGATAGAATATGGACCCAGGCTTCAACTTTTAATCTGCAGTATTATTCTGTTGACATCATCCTCTCAAGAAGACCTCTTGACTGGCAAACTTGTCTGAAGGTTTGTTTTGTAAAGGAGGGGGTACACTCCCCACTCTCCGTTTGTGCTGCCCCTCCCCCTTTCTGGCTTCTAGTGAGTCAGCGGTCACTTGCATTACAAATAGCACGTTCTGGAGACAATCTGGGCCAGGGTGTTCCGATTCCCTTCCTTTTTGGCACTGCGACTCCCTTGATCATATAGTCAAAAATGTTACAGGTATTAGTTGATGATATTGTGCTAAGAGGTCATAAGCCTCTAATTAGGGGTTATGTGTCTAAGTAAAGTTAACTCTTGCTTAGATACTTAGACTGAATATTCAAGTACCAGTACAAAGTCTTTGTCCAGGGGCACCTTTAAAACCAACAAAGTTTTATTCAAGGTATAAGTTTTTGTGTGCATGCACACTTCTTCAGATACAATGGAAAGTACCAGTCCATACATATAAGTAGAGTAAAGATAAAGGTTCCCTTGCTCGAAAGCCAGTCGAATTCGACTCTAGGGTTGCGGTACTCATCTCCGTTTCAAAGCCGAAGAGCCAGCGCTGTCCGAAGACATTTCCGCGGTCATTTGGCCGGCATGACTAAACACCAAGGTGCACGGAACGCTGTTACCTTCCCACTGAAGTGGTCCCTATTTATCTACTTGCAATTTCTTGCTTTCAAACTGCTAGGTTGGCAGGAGCTGGAACTAGAGACGGGTGCTCACTCCGTCATGTGGCACTCAGGTCTCGAACTGCTGAACTACCGACCTTCCACAGCCTGCAGTTCAGTGTCTTAACCACTTGAGCCACCGCAGCTCCCTTATAAGTAGAGAGTGAGCAGTAAATTAGCATACAGCATAATGAAGATATTTGACAGACTCATGAATAACAGGCTTAGTTTATATAATTACCATTGGTTTGAGTTCAGTTTCTGGGGGGAAACATAGTGAAGGAAATAAATGTCTAAAGTGGAGATTGATGTATCCTTAATTGAGGGATGCTGAGAGTAATTTTTTAGAAATAATTTTATTTAACGTATAAAACAATACACATGCTACATCAATACAGAATCAATTATCTCCCCAAATAATGACAGTTTTTGTTGTTATCTATAAACAAGCTATAACTAAACAAACACAAAATCTAAGTATTTCTTAGGTATTGAGGAGTTCTGGCAGGTGGTTTGATTCATATACTCAAAAAAAGCATACCATGTCTCTATAAACATATTTTTCCTATTAGGATTCTCAACTTGTATTAATTGTGAGACTACCTTATTCTGGACCACCAAGTCCCATATTTTATCATACCACTGTGCCAAAGTCGGTATATTCTTAGTATTCGATTGTTGTGCCAATATTATTTTACCAGCTAATAAGAGATGGGTTAATAAATCCTTCCTCGACTCTGGTGTATTTAACTCTGGCCACAGATTCAGTAAAATAGACTCAGGTGTATTTGGAATTAAAATTCCTGTTATGTCTTCAATTTTTTTTATAATATTTTCCCAATATGCATACACTACTTTGCAACCCCACCAACAGTGGAGAAACGTTTCAGTTTCACCACATCTCTCCCAGCATTCCAAATTAGTTCTTAGTTTGCGTTTATACAGCTTATATGGTGTTAGATAGCACCTGGTAATTAGTTTATATTGTTGCCAACAGATAGCTGTAGATCTAGATTTAAGCAAGGGAGTGTTCCAGATTGAATCCCAATGTTGTTCAGTTAGTTGTATCTGGCATTCTTTTCTCCATTGGTCTTGAATCGAAGTAGACTGTGACCATAGATTCTGACACAATAACTTATAAATAATTGGGATTACACCTTTTACATCAAAATTACCATCTTTTAATAGGGCTTCAAAAGCATTTAAAGAATGATTCTTAAGCATATATGGTAACAAAGTAGCTAGTACACTATGTAGTTGGTAGTATTGGTACCAGTGTTCCCTCTAAGGTGAATTAGTGTGAGCTAGCTCACAGTTTTTTAGCCTCTGGCTCACACATTTTTGTCTTAGCTCAGGGAGGATGGCTCCAGAGCCAACTACTTTATGAAGTAGTCAAATTGCTTGCTCACAGCTTTAATGCCAGCAGCTCACAAAACAGAATAATTGCTCATGAGACTCCACAGCTTAGAGGGAACATTGGTTGGTACCACAGGTTTTCTTATCCAATTTATCATTGGTACTAATATCTGTCAGCCTATAATGTTTCCTCCAGATTGAAAAGGCTTCTATAGGGTGTCCCGGCTCAAACCAGGATTGTCCCAGAAATGCCATAACTGGGGAAGAAGGTGGAGTTAAAAATTTCCTAAATTTATCCCAAAGATTTAAGGTGTGTTTTAAGAAGGGGCTATAATAGGTTTCCCATTTCCTTTCTTATTTGGTACACCATAGACTTTCGTGGAGATGAGCCTGCCAAAGACCACAGCTTTCAATTCTGACCCATGCCTTATTCTGAATTGGGGGAGAATATAAAAGTATGCATTTTAACTGCGCAGCATAATAATAATTTCAAAGTATTGGCAATCCTAATCCTCCCTGTTTAGCTGGTCTATAGAGATAGAAGAAATTCTTGTTCTCTTCTTGTTCCACAAAAATGAGTTTTGCAACGCTTGCCAGTGGTCTAATTCTCTCTTATTGGGATAGGTAAATTCTGAAATAAGAATAAAAACTTGGGCAAAATAAATGACTTCAACTTTTCTAAAAATGTAACCATAATAGTAGTCCATTCTTGAAAAGATTTTTTAATTTTAGTTATCAATGAGACATAATTAATACTAAACAGATTAGTCAAATTTATTGGTATCAATATCCCTAGGTGTTTCCAGGTTTTCTCTACCCATTTAAAGGGAAATTTAGATCTAATCATTTGTTCTATCTCTGAGGGAACATATATCGGGTATATTTATGTTTTTTCATAGTTTACAACGAAACCTGAACGCTTACTGGACGCTGAGAGTAACTAACTGAGACCCTGCCATTAAGCTCCATCCGTCTCCTCTCAAGCATGGAGGCAACCTTACAGCATCGTCTTCTATCGACCACTCCAAATTATGTTATGTTCTACTATTCATTACATTGCATTAGAATCTATTATTCTAATCTATTATTCCAAATAAGAAATAAAATAAAGAGGACCAATTACTAAGGATTGAATTGCAAATGAAGTTTTCCTTACCTTGCCATAAATACCTTTCTTTTGTCTCAGCCCACTATAAATAAAGCTTCTCAGACATCTAAAGATGTGCTTGGGACGTGTTTTCCATGGGACTGGGTGTTGAGAGACTGGAATTTCCCTTTATCTTAGAACAGGAAGATGCTAGAACATATAGTCTCTGTAACTTGTGTACTGGTGTTTCATGCATAGTATTTATTTATTTATTTATATCTTCAGTTTGTATACCGCCCTTTGCCCGAGGGTCTCTGGGTGGTTTACAGGTATATGGCCTAAGTGCCTAATTAGTTCCTATCCTAGGGCCACAATTCGACTGGGGGAGGGGCTACCTATCGACACCTGAGCGGCGCGCTGTTGTATTCCACGGGCGGGCTTCCGTTGTTTCTTCCTGGCGCCTTAGGACGGGTCGACGACATCTCCCGGCAGGCAGATCTGGTTATCTTATTTATTTTACTTTATTTACGTCATTTATCGTCCGTCTTTCTCATGCAGACGTGAGGCGAATTACACAGAGTGAGTTGAGACCGTCAACTTGGGTGTGTCTCTTATGCGCAGGTGACTTGTCCTGGGTTTGATGTTGCTGGGGAGCAGCAGGTTGCTTTCCCATTTCCACACTGCATGGTGCTTGTGGTGCCTCCACGCGCCTCCCATCCTTCCTGTGATCTTCCCCAAGCCTGCTTTGTGAAAGATGGCGGCAAAGCTGGGAGTGCCATCTGCAGAGGCAGGAATTTTCAGATTGTCCCAGTCCAGCCCACATTAATGCCCTTTTCCCTGCCTCGAGGACATGTTTAGTAGTGTTGAGCTGTTGTTTTGCCAACACCATGCCTTCCTTTTGTATGACTCTGGCTGCTTGAGGTTTGTCATCAGGGAAGTGGCTGAGGAGTTCTGAGAACCATTCCCAGAGAGTGTATTGATACTGGTCCATACAGGCCAGGTAGTTGGTGGCCTTGACTCCCAATGCTCCCGTGGAGTAGAAGCGCCTGCCGAAGGCATCTAATTTCCTTCCTTCCTTGTCAGAAGGTGCGGAATGCGTCCTCTTGGATTTGGAGGAAGATGTAATCACCATAGAGTTTGGCTGAGGGTGTGAGAATAGGAATTCGGCATCTGCCTCTTGTACCCTGCACATATGGTCCAGTCGCCTTGCGGACACAGGAGCAGACGAAAGTTTTAGCCATGGTGTCTTTGCTGCCTGCAGAAGAACTGAAGATATGGGCAATGCCAAGGTGGAAGAGGTATCTAGCTGAACTATATCAGAAACTGCATCCGTTGCCTGCGGATGTTACTGGACGACAGAGAGGCCTAAAGAGTGGGCCATTCTTTTGACTAGATCTGTGTAAGATATAAGGTTGTCAGATGGGGATACGGGTAATTCCTCAGCTACATCCTGGTTGGGAGATGTATGGTCAGGAGAGGTATGAGCCTCAGAACCCTCTGTATCCGAGTCCTCTTCTATGAAGTCAGAGGAGTCTTGTGGTATTTGGACCAAAATGTCCTGTTGACAAGTTATGGGTTTAGTTGTGATGACGGGGTTTGGAGTGACCGGAGGGTTGAGAGGGCGACTTAGCTCCAGAGAATGATGGTCGTCTGGAGGAGGATGTGACAGAGATGCGGAAGGTCTCGATTTGTGGGGCGATCTCGACTTATGAACAGAGTGGGACGAATAGCGATCCCAATCAGAATAGCCCGCCGGAGTCAACCACGGCATGGATGGTGGATAAGCCCCGTACAAGTACCTCAACTGTCATTGATCCCACGACATTGGTGGTGGAGGGGGCAGGAAGACTCTTGGGGAGCGACTTCTGGACTGTGGATGTCTTGGAGACAAAGCAGTAGCCTGTCTGCGTGAGCTGTCCCTGTAGTCTCGGTTGTCGATATCAACAGACTGAGTGACCAAATGTGGAGGGTGACGCTGCGCATCGCATGAAGTATATTGGTGCCGACGTGGATCGATGTTGGGAGCTTCCGATACCATCGACGTCGACGACAGGGAAGGAGACAGAGAAGGCTCTGCATCCATTTGATGACTTAGGAGCTCTACTGTTTCAATGTTGGAGTAAGGACGCTCCATTTGTTGGATGGGGGAATCCAATAGTTGGATGGTCAGTATCGGTGGAGGGACCTGGGCCTCTGATACTGATACTGCTGTTGGAGCAGGAGGCACTTTAGGGGCATTACCCAGTGCAGACACCGCTTCCTTCCCCTTCTTCGCCGCCTTCAGGGACTTGGAGGTGCCCTTCTTCACGGACTTATGATCTTTACTTGCCTTAGCCTTCTTTTTGACTGGCGTGGAAGCGGACGATTGTGCCTTCGATGTTGGGAGCTTCGGCGTCGGGCGGTCGACATTGGAGGCAGACTCTGGGCTGTCGATGTAGATGGTCTCTCCTCCATCGCTGAGGCAGGAGCAAGGGCTGATTCAAGCAGCGCATAAAAGAAGCGAAAAAGAGGGAACGTTTGGGGGGGGGGGGTTAGCCCGAAGGCCTGGGGTAAACTCCCCCTCAGCAGAAAACAAAGTTGTTTTTTTAAACTGTTTTTGAAGAACAAACAACCAAAAATTAAAGTAAAAGAACATTTGGAAATAATTCCTAAGAGCTGTAAGGCGAAAGCTAACAGCGAACCGATTGGACCGACGAAGAAGAGGTCTACTCAACATGGCGGTAAGAAAGGAACTGGCAGGATGTCCGCACCCACCCCTCTGGGCATGCGCGGTTGGGTTCCTTCGCATGCCCGAGGCACTGGGCGCGAAAATCCATGAAAAGAGCTTGCTACAGCACCGATCGATCCAGCGCGTGCGCACTAGATCCCATGGGTGTGCAGCACAGAGACCACGTCGAAGAGCAAAGTCTTACCTCCTTTCTGTGGCGTTTCTCAGACACGACGATTCTAGGTCGGCCAGCCCACGTAGCAAAAGAGCCTCTTACAGCGTAAGGAATGGTACAATTTCTTGTAAGACTGTGGGGGCTATCCTGCTG